ACTCAGCAGTCCTCTGCACGCGGGGGAGAGCAGTTTGGCGAACAGCCAATCCCATGATAGGAGTATCGGCGTTAGCTCGGAGCAATCTGGTCCATCGCTGGGCGACTTCCAAGAAGTCTGTGCTCGATAGCCCGTTCAATATCGACGTTTCCACTTCATCTAGGAGACGTCCATTATCCAACGCTGCCTTACTTGATGCTGCCTTCCAGTAACGCTTTTTCGCCGAACACGCTTTCGCTTTTGAGCCACCACTGCGACGTGTGATGTTGCCAGGAATCATTGATAGGCTAGAAATCCTATAGGCTTATTCCCCCCAAGATAGTAGATTGTCTAGGATACTCGTAACTTGAAAGCCCAGCAAGTTCTGTGGAAAGAATCTTCTTCAAGTTGGAGCTCCTCTGGGCTTGTACTAAGAGTCCGCTAGCCAGTTTAGCCATTGATGGCACTCTACTGCGGTATGACGACGGCAGACGGTGGCTCCATTTCGATGGTTCTTTTGACCTGAAGAATTTGGACGTTTGAGATACGGTTACAGCTATTCTGGGTAATTTGCTTCTACTACAAGCCGCGGCGGTAGCACCACTACAGGCAGTACCACCACAGGCAGCACCACCACTCGCAGTAGCACCACCACAGGCGGCAGCAGCTCCTCAGGGGCTCCCACCCCGCCTGTGGCAGCGCCACCACCACAGGCAGCATCACCACCACCACCACCAGCAGTAGCACCGCCACAAGCGGCAGCTCCTCAGGGGCTTCCACCGCGGCCTGCGGCAGAGCAGGACGAGCCCTCTCCGCATAATGACATTGGGGCGGATGACGACGACGTAAGACCTGCCTCGTTGGCCACCAATACTATCTTTTCATGTCAGGTTCCCAGACCCGATGCGCCTATCCCTGAGGACTGGTTCTCAACTACTGACGGCGGCAACAGATCGGTGTGGATCGGCAACCGGCAGTGGCGGCGGACCCGGGCTGCCAACGAGACTAAATCCCGGTATTGCTGCAGTGGTTGTACAGTATCGTTGCTGATTGAGACTCGTGACGGGTCGTCGTATCTGGTTCGTGCCCCACGTCCCAATCGGCCTTCCTGTACCGCTGCTCCTGATCCTGCCCGGGAAGAGCGAACAAGATTAAGGCGCAGGGTTCAAGAGGAGGTCGCGCGAGGTGGCAATCGGCGTGATTTGGTTGCGGAGATTGTAGCAGATCACGGAAATGCTTACTTTAACACGAATGGTGAGGGAAATCTTAATGCTGCAAGGTATAGGGCTGGGAATGCTCCGGGAGACCGGCCCCGTCGCCTTGACCTTGATCGCCGGGGTTACTTCGAGGATTTCATAAGGCTTGCAGAACAACACGCCGGCCACTGTAGGGGCACGCGCGGGACCGGACAACAGATCCGATTTCTTCTGTACTCTAACGCGGAGAACCCGATGCTCATTTGGGCCACTGATCACGGTATAGCTGCTCTGAATCGTGCGTCTAGGCTATTGTGGGATGGAACGTTCTACGTCGCACCTCCTGGTTGGGAGCAGTTATGGACCGGAGTTGCCGAGATAGATGGCCACTATGTTCCTACCTATTTCGTCTTGATGACAAGGCGGACGCAGCAGGAGTACGAACGAGCACTACTGCAAACTCGTACCGACCTTGCTCAGCGTCAACTCTTCCACATTGTTAGCACATTGTATTACATAACGGACTATGAAATTGCGATGCGAAATGCATTGGTATCAATGTGGGAGATTGGTGAAGAGCAACTTAGAGGAGGTCTATGGCATCTTGGTCGCTGTTGGGTCCGTAATATGCAAGATGAAATGGCGGCTGAATACCGAGTCCCCAGGCACTTGAGAACGGATAAAGGACGGCGGTTATATCGAATATGCGGGATTGCGTGCCTACCTGTCGACGATTATCTTGCGGCCTGGCAGCACCTACTGCAGACCGCGCCGCAAGGTGCTGACATAGAGCGTTTTATAGCCTACATGGAAGCCAACTATGTAGGCCATGTCTCCGATTGAAGGACCATTGCAAGTATTCATCCCGACTCTACTCTTTGGTCTCCCGACCAGTCTACTATCTCTTTGCAAGTCGAGACCAGACCAACTGCTGCGAATGATGAGCTGGACGTGCCGGAGGTATTGCGGGCCTTATAGATAACAGGCACCCGTTTCTCCTTCAGTTGTCTGGCCAGAATCGATTCGTCACTGCAGTAACAGATTCGGGCTCTGATCCATCCACCGTTAGAGAACGTTTCCCTGAGGAACACCGACATCACGGCGTAGGGGGGAGGGTGGCGTCAAAGGTCGTACTGTCACCATCCAACAATCCAGGTACACTCGCAGGCCCGTGTTCAGCGCGGAACTCTGGCTATCGCATCACAATATGACGCGATAGCCAGGGTATATATGTATATACTATATAGAGTATATATATGAGCCAGAGTGCCAAGTCGTAGATAGTTGTAGTGAATATCATCAACCCAGCACTTTCAGGGACAGTTGAGATTTGTCGAGAGTGCCAAATCGTTGACAGGCATAGTTGAATTTAAGATTCAGGCAAGAAGTATCCATGACAGAGACGAGTTGTTGGGAGTCGGGTCGCCACGTTCCATATGCGCACTCTTGCTGACTTTCTCGCGAAATGCCAGGTCGAGTATTTGGACGTAGCCGAATAGCGAACTCAGCACATGTTGAGTAGAGCTGCCAAAATTGCTGAAACGTAGTGCGTGTCTCACACTAATTCACAATTCAGCACTTTTAAGACTGTGCTGTGGAGATATGAAAACGCAGGCGCTAAGGTTGGCGAGTAGTAGATTTCTGAGTGTTGTGAAGATGAGAACGATTGCTCAGCCGTTAACAACGGTATTAAGTTGACGTTGGTGAGAAAAGAGTGGTGTAACAAGTGCGCACTTGTCCGAGTTCGGCACCATTGCTGAGTTGCTAAGAAGTGAACCACCCCAGGATGTGCAGCCCAAATTCAATTGAAGGTAACGTACGGGGCGCAAGAATTTGTGCTGGTGATCGCGAGCACATTTTCTGGTGTTGATGAGCTTTCCATGCATACTTCCCTGTTGCCATAATGGCAATGCCATTCTAAGTATCCCTTCTACTAGAAGGCTCCTATTGGTGACCAGTCAATGTCCCTCAAATAAATTCGACAGAGCTCATCCCCTCTAACTGCTGGACTAATCAATTTTCAGAATCTATGCATTACGAGCAGCCAGTCTCCAGGCCCTGGAGTCCAGGGAGATTCGCTATACTTGCATAGACTGAGCGACATAGTATGAACTGAGCATAACCGAAAAAAATCAACTGTCAAGTTACGCAGACGGAGTCGGGCGCGCGCTAACATGAAAAATACAGAAAAAAAGCCAGGCCTGGGGATCGAACCTAGGTCATTTATGTCGTAAGCTTTCTAGTGTTATAGAAGAGGAGCTGTGAAGCGGCCCGTAAGGGCCGAGGTGTATGGGACACGTGCTTATCTCCAGTACAAAAAAGCGGGCCGAAGGCGCGCGTCTCGGCTCTGGCAGGAGCCCCCTATGTAGCCACATACGTTGGGACCGAGATCCACATACGTTGGGACCGAGATCCACATACGTTGGGACCGCTAAGCGGGATCACCTGTCCAAATCTTGCGCCGTTTCTGGTTGCCTTGAGAATTCCCCCTAAAAGTAGAATTTCGGGCGCGCGAGATCTACGCCTTGGCTTTTCTCCCATTTACCATGATTATTCCCTTTCACTCAGCGATGCGTCAAAACCAATTTTCTAGCGAATATCGATGAATCAGCATTGTTGCTGTTGCACACCAACGATCCTCTCATAAAGGTCGAAATAACACATTGCATTATTTACGTTGCTCTTTTGGGTGTGAGCGGTTAGATTCTCCTGTTGTGGCAGCTCCCGCTGTTAGATCCCGTACTAAGTAATATATGGCAGACGCCTGTTTGCAAGTGACCTCCTCAGCTGTACCGTGGTATAGTTCTCAAGAGTACGTCCGGAAAAGCACTGATCTCTGGGAAAAAAAGACGGACGTACGGTTGCCGTCTGAGTTGAATAGGAAGCTTTTTGTCTACAATTCGCGGGACACATCTTGGCGGGAAGAGCCAGTTGATCATTATTGTAAGGGTAGTATCCCGAAGTAAAGACGTAAGTCGGTCCTCGCACTCAACCGTGAGTTAAGTTTCGGGTGGTTATGGCCGCCAAGGAGGAGGAGGACGAAAGAGAGAGTTTCGCTAAGAAGCTCTGATTCTGCATGTACATAATATTCTTCCTTCCGTATGATGATAGTCGGGTTGTGTTTGTTGACAGTGATGGCAAATGAAAAACGGCACTCTCAGGGTGGTCTCGAAGAGCGGACGGCTCGATGAGTTCTTACAGGTCTTGTCTCAATGTATGATGCAGAGGCTCTTTGCCACTACATGGCGGAGAATAGCACCCGTCAGCGTAGTCACACTGGGGATCTTCTCGGTTAGGCAGTACTCTCAATGTGAGGGCTCGAGGGATTCACGCCCTGACGAGCAAGTTTCTATTTATGCTATGGGCTCGGTTGGGCCTTCTCTCGAGCGAACAAGGCGGGGGGCGCAGCGTTTGTCATTTCTACCCAATGAAAGGTGGACCCGTGTAACTCTTGGGGATGGGTTCGGTGGCGCTGTGGCAGAGAATGGTAAAGCCTGGCTGTGGAGGAAGGGTAATAGTAATGGGAAGAATGGCGACGTGGTAGTAAAGGTGGTGCCACTTCCCTCGGATGTGCGAGCCGTAGACGTTCAATCCTCGCGGACTGCACTTTGGCTACTGGGAGATGATGGTAGAGTGTATGTCGTGCAGAATGTTGTCGCTACTCGTGGGAAGAACTCTATCAGCGTGTGCCCGGGCCTGCCTCAAAGTGTTAAGTTTTCGGCGATAGCTGTCAGTGCTGGGCATTTTGTGGGCCTGGACCAGGACGGTGGAGTATGGTGTCTTGGCAGTAACTCCAGGGGACAGTGTGCGGTAGATCCTGCTATCCAGGGGGTACTGGGTGTCGCTACACGGGTCTTCTTTGGCAAGAAGGGCCTGTATGTGCGGGAGCCACGTGGAGTGAGTGTAGCAGTCGGTGACAATCATACTATGGTGTTGGACGACAATGGCGAGGTCTGGTCCTGGGGTGATGATACTCTCTTGCAGCTCGGTCATGGTGACACGAGGTAGGCGCAGGTAGCGAAGGTAGTTTTCTGAGGAAGCATCCTGGATAGGTGTGCTCCGAACAATTCATCTCCCCTAGAGAATATGAGGGAACAGAAGGCACCCTCGCATCCATCAGTGATTTATGCACCCTTCCAGACTCACTTACGGTTTACTCCAACTAAAATTGCAGATGTGCCAACCGACTTCGACCAGCAGCATACTCGGGAGCTCGCACCCCATGTAGGCCCCTACCGCCCGATCGACTACCTCCGATAGTCTATAGCGTCCATGTCGGCCTCAAGATTCGTGATTTTAGAATTCGGGCCTTGCTCCTGAGGGGATATTCGCCGGTCCGAATACGTCATTCGTCGTCATCAACGACACGCCTTACGACCATACGCCCCATGACGAACACCACGATGCTGTCTATGCTTGTGGGGACAACGAGAAGGGCCAGTGCGGCAGGAGTTTGCAAGTAATGCTGGGATATGGACTCCGACCTGCGAGAATGATTATTCAGTATTCGCAGCAGACCTTCATGCGGGTCCGACTTCCGAAGCGGATACAGGTCCAGGTGGTGCAGTGCAGTAGCGGCCATTGCGCTGCATGGGTTCGGAGGGTCGTCGGCGGCGGCGGCCCTACCCCGGCTGCTGTGGAGGAGGGGCCTGCGATGAGGGACTGGGGTATATACACATGGGGTGAGAACACAGCTGGAAGAGTGAGTCCCATGGGGGGACGGCATTTGTCGTTCATCTGCATCAATTCACAGCACAGCCCCACTCTAACTCATGCTCCCGTGCACTTCGATCTCAATTAGGTGTCCACAACAAGACGTCAAAGAGATGTGGTAATACCACCTCTAGATGTGACCAGGAACTTCCCCCGCGGTAGAGTTCGCTGGCTGGCTGTGGGTCCGTATGGTACAGCAGTCATTGTGTGTGAATCGAGTTGTCCGAGAATCACTGAGTCCGTACCCAGCACAGGATAGTGTTGGTAGAATGTACCATGTACTTACTCATGCACTATTGATTTCGCACCTGCTCTCTCCACGAGGAGCTAACGTACATGGGCCCGCTGGGTTGAATGGTCTACTACCACCTACTCCCTGCGGCTCTCATCGTTTGATTTCTCATCACAGCGGTCTCTTGTGCCCCACCGCGTTGGTGTTGAAGATCGGTGGAAACTGATCATCCTCATGTTAGCTCAGTGAGTATTGAGATAATGTCAGCCATCGATGGCGTCGACGCTGTGGATAATGCAGTTCTGCAAGCTGTACTATCGGGGGCTTCTTACTCCCTCACCGTGCTGTCACTTCTATTTTCCTCAGGCGGAGACGCTGTCTTCAATGCCATCCATAAAGCCATTTATTGAGGCCTATCGATCTGTGGTCGACGCCGATGCGGAGCTCGCCACAGCGGTGAACGACAGACAAGCCCTTTACCGGAACACGGTGGAAATGGGTACTGGTCGGAGTGCGGCGTGGACTGGCTTGAGGGGCCTGGTAAGTGATAGTTTGAGTTTTCCGTTGAGCTATTCTCTCATCTTAGGCTCCGCGGAACCCCATACTCCGGCTGCACATCTGGAATACCACTGGAGGGAAGTTATACCCAGAGGACGCAGCTGAGCGATGGGCATGGTCTGAGGCCGTCCCTCAACATCATGTTGACTGGTCTAAGGAGCTCTCATGTGGGAGGTGGACGCTCTTTATAAAGGTGGGCAACTATGAAGTGTAATTCCTCTCATTGATTGTGTTCATCGTCGGTCGATGACGTTACTATTCTTACATCCCCTCGCGGTGGGTAATTTAGTCATTTCAGGGAGATGTGGTATCGGACGAAGGCTACACTGTGGGGATCTCCAATGCTGTTAAATTCTCGGACGTGGTTGAGAGACTCCTTATCCTGGGAATATCCGATGACACTTGTGAACACAAAATCCCCGCGGTATGGGAGAGGAAGGCTGGAGACCGATACGATGGCATCCAGCTCAGTCAGGAAGGCACCAAGGTGATTGCTGCTTGTGGAAGCTTTTCGAGAAGTATGATTAGGAGCTCGTGCTGAAACTAGTCTTTTTCATGCGAGACTACCCTGGCTCCATGGTTGAAGTACCCCCAGAGATAGAGAAGATCGTCACTGGAAGACGACGTATAACGATGCCGACCTTGGTGAGGAACATCTTTGCATTTGCTGAAGTAGTTGCTTGTGTTAGGTCCGCTCTCTGTGGGGCTACATCCGACGGGAAAATCTAGTTATCGAGAATGATACCGGGGAGGTTAAGTTCAAACCGGACGCGCTTCTGACAGCGGTAAGTCACATCAAGACTGGCAATGACGATGTTGTTGCCTTCGTCAGCATCTCTTCCCTGAGGACTTGATGACGCCTGGACCGCCTCCAGAGAGGACGGTAGAGGAGCTCTATGATGCTGCGTCTCGGATGTGCAAGCCTCCCGGACCAGTAGTGATAAATCACAAGCTGAAGTGAGTACTGTAGTTAGCAATGGAGTTTCACCCGTGATATGAAAAACACTATTGAAGAAATATTTCACGGCTACTGCATAGCGCAAATATTTTCTTCACTGAGTTTTACATCACCCTACGTAAAACGCGTGAAGCTCCAGTGAATTTGATCATGGAGTATTGTCAGTTTCGATCAATTTGACCCGACGGCCTCGGAAATGGTGTATACGATACCAGTTGACCTCAGCTACTGCGACACTCCATTGCAGAACACAACATGTGGGTGGATGAAGCTGTTGATAGTGATCACTCGAGTAGTTCAGGCAGCGAACCGACGGCGAGAAGACTGGCTTCATTTCCTGACCTCAAAACCGATGCCCTCTCTGCACTGAAGAGTAGCTGCAATAATGTGAGTTGGTCTAAGCTATGATGTGGGTCGGTTTCAGCCATCATGTCTCAGCTCATAGTTGCGGCGGACCGCCTTGACTTCATGAGGGCCTTTGCCTCGGACCCGAAGGGAATTCTCGAAGCGGCCCTGGAGGGCCGACCAGTAGAACAGGCAGACCCTCGCGATAAGGAGACTCGAAAGAGGCTGCGAGAGGCTGAGCTGCTCTCCTGTGCATCGCATCTCGTAGCAACGACTATGACTGCAGAAACGTCGGAGACGAGCGCGGAAGACACTCCTCACGTGACACGTTTGAGATCAACTCCGCGACGATGATGACTTCTACTGCCGCATTGCCTTGTGAATCGAGATCGGCCCTCATTGTATACTTGCCCCTCCCCATCATTTGTGATTGTTTAACGACAACCGTCACCCTCTTGCGTTTTCCAGCTTCCAATGAGCACGGATCGGTTTAGGTTTTGATGCATGCTATGGGGGTATGGCCTCGACCAGAAGCAGTAGATTAGATCGATCGAAGCCCTTCGGTCCGGGTTTTACGTATGTTAATGGACTTCATGGCAACACCCACCGAGATTCTGCATATTTGCGCTTGTACAATAGCGGCGACTACGACCACATTCCGCGCTCTATACGGCCGTATTATATCCTCTCGGTCATGAGGGACGGCCTATGTCGGTCTACTTTGAAGAGAGCTCGGTCCTTGGAAGAGCTCAGCCCCGTATCTTCTGCTGCCTCGGCTGGGACGGGGAGAGTTGACGATATGGAAGAGGCACCTTTGAGGAAGCGGCGTAGGACCAGTAGTCTATGCTCTGAGCACTCTGCACTGGAGGAGGCTGAGCAGCTCACAGATGAAGGGCAGGTGAGGGCGCTCCGGTGACATTCTCGGTGCACTTTCGTATTGCAATATTACTCTAGATCCATCTGGGGGTACCAATACGAGAGGATGTTGGAGGGATGAGAAGAGACGAAGAGGAAGCTTCTTTCGAGTCGCCGCTAAGTCAGGTCACGAGACCTTCGTTCCTAGCAGTGTTGTCGTCCTCGGAGGAAGCTACTCGACCGGCATTAGATACTGTGATGGAGGGAGACGAGATTGACGTATGGCTCACGCACGGTCTGCCTGGCTCCACTCACTTCGATCAGGTCCACGCTGCACAATCTTCACATTCACAAGTGTCCGAGTCCTCGCCATCAGTGATGTCTCTGGGCTCCGAGACTTCGGAAGCGAGCACACCGGTTGAGGGTTCCGAATCGGAGGAGGAGAGCGCGGGCATTGGGGAAGCTGTCGAGGCACTTGAGGGGAACTCTGAGCAGTCCTCAACGAGATCGACTGATGAGGAAGTGTTGATGGAAGAAGTTGAGGTCCACGGAGGGGAGGAGCATTCTGAGGAGGCAGAAGTGATGGAAGACGAATCTGAAATGCAGGAGCTAGATATGGATAATGCAGAGTTGTTGCCCGCACATGAGAGCGAGATCGGGAAACCTGATGCGACACACGATGAAGAATACAGTGACGGGGAGGAGGAGGAAGAGGAGGAGGGGGCCAAAACGCCTACAGCTGATTCCCTGTTGGAGTACAAGGCTGTTGAAGACACCAATCTTATTGAGTCCTCATCCGAGTCGTTGCAGTTCTCGCCTGATGAGGAGGTAGAGAGCCCTCTGGGCAGCGGGCCGATCGAATGGGATCATAGTCCGACCTCTTCGGGCGGACTACCACAATTGGATGAACCCTCTTCTCAACAAAGTCAAAGTGAGGAGCTTGAAATACTGGGAAGTGAGCCGGCTGAGGATGAGGCGAATGATGAGGGATCTACGGCCGAGGAGCATTATGATCATGAGGGAAGGGTCGAAGAGCGAAGCGGTGCGAGCGCCACTGTTCATTCTTGTTTATGCTCTCCCATGTAGGAGTCCTCGATGATGCTGGAGGCGATCGAGAGGCTGTAGACGCAATGGAACCGCCGCCGATCCCAATGTCTGCCACTGGCCGGCCTCTACGACGAGCAGCAATCGCCGCATTGGAAGAGATACATGCGGAAGCTGCATCCAACAGTACGCTATTGGTTTGTTATGGGAACCTCATCCCCCAAATTCTCGTGTTATTCATCCGCCTAAGCGTCGCTCCGCTGATGAGACTGTGCTTGTTTCTCAGCTCGGCCTCACCACTTTCACTCTGCTTCTGACGCTGCGGACTTTCAAGATGAACACGGTCAGATGGCTGAGGTGACTGTAGAAGTAGTCGTTATTATCACCTTGGTAGTTTGGAACTGTGCGCAGGAGGAATATTCCCCCATGAAGACCAGTCCGAGGAGGCGAAGTCCCAGAAAGGGAAATAAGGCAGAAGCATCGACTGAATCCGTTAGTATGGCGATGAACCCATCGTCGGCTGGGGTGGTGTCCATGATGTCGAGTGAGGATAAGGAGGCTTCAGTACAGAGTCCAACAGGGTCTGCCCTGGCAAATGAAGGTAGCCTACCTTGACTATGGGTTCTGACGAATATAATATCGTATTGTTGTTGGGTTTATACTTGAAAAAATTTTTCGCTTGAGTCACGGTAAGGTGAGCCCAGGTGTTTGTTTGGCAGGCTCTATAGTTGAAGACCTCTCCTCGCTTCCGGCATCTAGTGTGCAATCAGTGCCTGTTACACCGGCACCTAGACGAACTCCACGAGGTGGAGGACGATTGACGCAGATCTCATGCTCGCCGACTGTTCGACGAACTACGAGAGCAAGTGCACTAGAGGCAATGGATAGGATCCACTCGATAGGTATCCACATCCACTGTGAAGTAGTCATCTTGCAATCTTCTCAGCTGTTGGTCGAGATGTGGCGCATGCATCGGAGTCAGGTGGAACTAGCGATGGTAAGAAGTCCGAGGAGCCTCTGTTGAATGCGTGAATTCAAAGTCAAACGCATACGACAACACGGCTCATTTAGACGCGCATCGATGCACACTATCTCACGAGGGTTCAGTTTTACCATATTAAAGCTGTTGTCTCTGCATGCTCCCTTTCACTCTTAGGAGACCGTATGGAAGCTGCTACTGCACTTCTTGAGGCGATAGGAGAAGACCATGCCCGTGCGGCAAGAGAGAGGTCCTCAAGAGAGAGCCCACCTAGCAAGTCGATGAAGTCTCGTGATTTGCACGTACCGCCATCGATTGATCCTCCTATCCACCGTCCAGTAACAGCAGAGAAAGGGGATAATGAAAGCCTGGTGGGTGTGTGATTAGTTATGGAAGTGAAACCCCGCCCGCTATAGGCGTCATCCTCGGTACGCGGTGATGTTGAGAAGGACGTGGAGGGTCTTCCGAAGATAAGACACTCAGCGTACAACTCTTAGGCATGCCTTAGCTATCATGTTTACGATATTGTCAGACGCTTGCAGGCAAAAGCTCAAGCTGACAGTTCTGCTCCGTCCTCGTCGAATACATCTCCAGAGAGGCGGAGGTGGGATACCTTCGAGTTCTCCACACACAGTGTTCACACTCATCGTCTTGATAGGAAGAGTCGATCATCGGCCACATCCTCCAGCGCTACTTCTGAAGTCACACCGACTAAAGCCCGGTAGGCCCTGTGTTGAGGCTGGTGTGGGACTGCTAACGTCAGGAAGCGTCCGGCCTCTACTGTTGCCGCGAAGTCCAAGACGAAGTCAAAAAGAGGAAGGCTTGCGGCCATTCCGGAGGAGCCACAGACCACGAAACGGCCTACGGGACGAGGAGGTCGAAATGCGGGATGATTCCCTCGACAATGATGAGCACGGGTCACCACCGTAACGTTAACTGTTTCATTAATAGTCTCAGGAGGATTATTATGTGATGCCACATTTCCGGGAAGGATTGCCGAGTTCAGCACTAAGATGTTGAGTTTGAGTTCGTTCGACTCATATCGATCAACATGGCGAGCGCTACATGCTCGAATGTGCTCCACCTGCCGTAGCATTAATGGTTTGGGATTGAATTGGCTCGGCGTTGCAGTGCATAGTTTTGTGTTAAAAAGCATGGACATGTCCAACAACTCCCTTCCACCTCTCTCCAATGATTGCTTCCCCAATCAGTTGATGCATGGGGAGCGCCCAGCCCCAGAGAGTGTGGGGATGAGCCATCCTGTGGAGGCGATGCAAAAGAAGAGTCTCGTCAGTGCGGAGGTGCTACATGCCTATCAGTGAGAAAGCTATGTAGCTGTCCTCAGGCTCGCACTATGGAGACAGCCTCGGTGATGTTCGGCATGAACATGCCTAGCAGAATGCTAATGGAACGTAACCTCCTCAGTACTTTTCATCGACTGCCTGGTGCTGGACCGTAATATCCTACTTAAGGATGATGGTGGTCAACGTAGTCGTCTTTGATTTCAGGTCGAGCCTTCTGGGTCTAGAGACTGTTATGGGGATGGACGACACCATAGAGGCGGCTGATTACATGAATCGTAATAGGGTTGTCCGAGTGTGTACTGTAGTATCTAGTATAATTACTTTATGCAGCGTTAGTAGTTAGGAACTACGTTGGAGAATAGTAGCTTCTGCTCAGTACAGTTGACCGAACTGCTCTAGCTGGATGCCTAGTTGGTGTTAGAACACGTATAATTAATTTTAAATAGTCACTACATAGTAATAGTCATTAGAGTTGTGTTTCCCTCTTCCACACAATCCAGGCCTACGCAAAGACATTCGCACTTTCTTTCTCCTCAGTTCCTGAGAGTTCACCATTCCCGCGCAGCAGGAAACCGGTCCATGATCAGATGGAGCAGAAGTTAGATATGTGATTATGGGATGATTGGAGTCAGATATACCTGAGAGCCATCGTAGTACTAGTTTCAATACTCAACATTTGCGTTTTCGTTAAGTATTCAACTCAAGGCTTGCGCACGTACTAGGTGTCTGCTCTATTGGATCTATCCCAATTGGCTCTCTGAGAGTTTCTGTCTCAAACTTTCAACTTAAGATTACGAAGGCGGTCGTGGGATCAATGCGAATACTACGGCTCTGTATTTAGTGTGTCCGATTGCGACGTGTTTCGGCATGTCTGATCCGGAAGACAATGCGTCGGCGTATAGCGAGCCTCGTCGAGGTCGCCATTCATCACGGACGAGGAGTCGGTCTGGTAGGCGAGCCGAGGCTAAACTACTACCCAACCCTCAAGCAAACGTAGGCCCTCCGGGTCGCGACAATACATGTCATCTTTGGAGAGACACGGGAAAGTGCCGATATGGGGATATGTGCAAGTTCGGACATGTTGGTGAGAAACGTGGCGCTGTTCGGAGTAGAGTCGACCCTGCGGAGATTCCGACGCCGCGACACCCGTTGATCCAGATAATGGAAAGGTGCAATCTGCCGGTAGTAGAGGAGGTACCCTTGGCTACGACCCCTAGTGTGAGTGGCAGTAAGCCTGAGCTCAGTGTGACACCACAGCCTACTGCGGTTACACCTGCTACCGTGCCTGATGTTATCGACGTGTATCCTGCGAAATTGAAATTTGGAGAGAAGGAAAGGGT